AGGTTGGTACTTGGCGAAATTTTTGACATTTTTGTAATATGTTTAAATATTATTGTTCCTGATGATGTCTTTCTTAGGAGGACGAAATATCGAAAAATATAAATAAACAACAATGATCAGTTTTATTTAACTTACATTTGAAAAAATTGAAAATACAAGTCGACTAAAAATCAGAAAATGGAAAAATTCCTTAAAACTAGTTTTTTTTTCGGAACTAAAAAATTATAGTGTGTATGTGTTATGTTTTTTTATTTTTCCACATTTCATTTATATTTTTATTCTAATTAGAAGAATAAATCTTCTTTACTTACATTGTTTTTAAATCACAAAAACATCAACACCTTCTTGTCACCTCTACGTGAATCTTGTCAAAAATTGACAAAACATAATTTAAAACCAATTCCCCCTACCCCCCACTCCTACTCAACTGTTTGGTTTTTGTTTTTCTTGTTGCAAATTGTCTTTATTTAATCGTTTTTTGCTCTGCGCTCTTCTCATCGCTTGTCGTCGTCGTCGCCGTCGTCGTCGTCGTCTCTCTGTCACTTGTGTGCCTCTATTACACAATTCACACACAAGGTCATCCTCGCCATACATTTGATTTGCAAAGTAATGGGAACCTCTTTTCTTTGACGCTTTGTTTTGGATTTTCTTCTTCTTCTTGTCGTTGCTGCTGCTGCTATGGCTGTTGTTGTTGTTGATGTTGGGGGTTTTTTAAACGGTTTAAAAGAGACTTAATTACCATAACAATGTTGTGTTATTAACATAGAATAATTCCCCGCCTTTGCTGTTGTCAATTATGCGCTAATGTAATGTCTTTGACCTCACGCAATGAGTAAAAAGAGGAAAAGTAAGAAAAAAAACAACGCAATCGAAGAACATAAAAGAGAAGAGTCACGAAGACGGGAAAGTTTTGTTTGCAAATTTTTTCAATGAAATTTTGAGATGAGATGTAAAAGGAAAAATTTGTTGATCTATGAGGAAATAATTTTTAATCGCACCAAATGTCCAGATAAATCGGGTGAGGGGATTTAATAGCGAAGTGTTTTATTAGAAGATCATATATAATTCATAGGCCGGTTACATTGTTCCGATAAATAAATTCATGTTGCCATTTTTTATGTTGATAATATGGCAATAACAGCAAAATGTATTTAAATAAAAACCAGTAAAGAAAATCCTAAAGTCGGGCGGGGTCGATTTTATGATACCCTACACCACTTTGCTAATTTAGTAGAGCTCCACATAACAATTAAGAGATTTTATGGGAGAATTTAATCATACACGCTATGATTATAATTATAATTTAAAGTTCAAAGGACTAAATATGCCGAAGCATTTGTAACTTTTAAATTCGGACTTGTATTGACCATTTGGTGCACAATTATTTTGAAATCGGATAAAGATATATATGGGAGCTATATACAAATCGGAACCGATCTCGATAAAATTTGGCAAAGATATTTGTGAGCTGAATTTGATATATTTCCCTGAATATCGTTGTTACGGAGTGCATATTACGGCTGTTGGTAACAAATATAACAAATCGGATGAATAATATGTATGGGAGCTATAGCTATATCTAAACCGATCTTCACCAAATTTGGCATACTAACTTCTAGACTCAATTCTGTCGCATGTGCCAAATTCCATCCCATTTGAGAAAATATTAGACGTTTGGTGTACAATAAAAGGTAAATCGGACGAAGTTATATATGGGAGCTATATCCAAATCTGAACCGATCTCGATAAAATTTAGCGAAGGTATTTCTGAGCTGTATTTGCTATATTTTCCCAAATATTGTTATTACAGAGTGCATATTACGGCTGCGGAGGACAAAAATAACAAATCGGATGAACAATATATATGGGAGCTATAGCTATATCTGAACCGATTTCGATCAAATTTGGCATACTTATTTTCAGGCCTAATTTGATTGTATGTGCAAAATTCCATACTATTCGGGCTGATATTACACGTTTGGTGCACAATAAAAGGCAAATCGGACGAAGATATATATGGGAGCTTTATCTAAATTTTGACCGATTATCTCCAATTTCAGTAGGGTTTGTCCTTGAGCCAAACAAATGTTGTTTGGAAAATTTCATCTGAATCGGATAATAAATGCGACCTGCATTTTGTTCACAAAACTACATGGACAGACGGACGGACGGACAGACGAACTGACATGCATAAATCAAAGTAATTCTATGGAGATCCTCAAAAGTAACTATGGGTCTATCTCGCTTCCTTCTCCATGTTACAAACAAATACACAAAGACATAATACGCTTACCACTATATGGTGTAGGGTATAAATATTGAAGAACTGAATTGAATATTTATATCCTGAAAATAATTACAAATTCGTTTTGTTTATTTATTTTTTATACCCAGAACAGTGTTGGCTTGTTTGTTCGGGATACCATACCTCAGAGAGGGTTAGAGAGATATGGCCAAAACGTGCCTCATCGTAATAATGGTTTTAGACTCTAGGTCTCTTTGGACCAAATCCGTTTCATGACATTTGGAGTCGATTAAGCGATGTCCGTCCATCCGTCTGTCTGGCTGTTGCGCACGATAACTCTCTAAGGGAGTATCCGATTTGGTCCAAACTTAGTACATCGTAATATTATTGTTAAACTTAGATCTAGTTCAGAGATGGAAAATATCGGTCCACTCCTTCTGGTACCTCCCACCTAAAATATTAAAATTTTTAAAGAATATATTTTGCAGCACATAAAGAGAAAGAATTATCTGTTTTTGCTCCAACCTTGCAAATCCTAATATTTGCATCAGTGCTTGGATAGGTGCGAATAGGGACAATATCGGTCCACTCCATCAGGTACCTCCCCCACAAAGGAGGAGAATTTTGAATAATTACAGTTCTTATAAAATGTGATGTAAGTGTCCGATTGTCTTCAAATTTTACACATCTCAATATTTATGTTATCCCAAGTTCTGGTCTAAAGATGGCATACATCGGTCTACTCCTTCAGGTACCTCCCCCACAAAGGGTCAAAATTTCGAATATTCATGAAGCTCATAAAATGCAAAATTAATATCCGATTCCATTCAAACTTGGTACATTTCAATATTTCCATCAACATAAGATTTGTTGTAAAGATGGTAGAGATTGGACCATTTATTTTGGTACCTCCCCCACAAAGGGTCGAAGTTTTGAATAATCAAAACGATCATAAAATCTGAAATAAGCATCCGCTTCTCTTCACATTTCACACATCTTATTTTTCCTACTAACACAAGATCTGCTGCGAAGATGGGATATACCGGTCCACCCCTTCTGGTACCTCCCCCACAAAGGGTCAAAATTTCGAATATTCATGAAGCTCATAAAATGCGAAATTAATATCCGATTCCATTCAAACTTGGTACATTTCAATATTTCCAACAGCGCAAAATCTGATATAAAGATGGTACAGATTGGACCATTCCTTCTGGTACCTCCCACACAAAGGGTTCAAAATTTTGAATATCCATGAAGGTCATAAAATGCGAAATTAATATCCGATTCCATTCAGAATAGGTACATCTCAATATTTCCATCAATATAAGATTTGTTATAAATATGGTAGAGATCGGACCATTTATTCTGGTACCTCCCTCACAAAGGGTCAAAATTTCGAATATTCATGAAGCTCATAAAATGCAAAATTAATATCCGATTCCATTCAAACGTGGTACATCTCAATATTTCCATCAACATAAGATTTCTTATAATCATTTTAAAGATCGGATCATTCCTTCTGGTACCTCCCCCACAAAGGGTCAAAATTTTGAATAATTATAACTCTTATAAAATGTGATGTAAGAGTCCGATTCTCTTCAAATTTTACATATTACAATATTTTTATTAACCCAAGGTCTGCTGTGAAGTTCGGATATATCGGTCCACTCCTTCCGGTACCTCCCCCACAAAGGGTCAAAATTTCGAATATTCATGAAGCTCATAAAACGCAAAATGAATATCCGATTCCATTCAAACTTGGTGCATTTCAATACTTCCATCAACACAAGATCTGTTGTGAAGATGGTGGAGATCGGACCATTTATTCCGGTACCTCCCCCACAAGGGGTCAAAGTTTTGAATAACCAAAACGATTATAAAATCCGAAATAAGCATCCGATTCCCTTCAAATTTCACACATCACAATATTTCTATTAACCCAAGGTCTGGTGGAAAGATGGCATATATCGGTCCACTCCTTCTGGTACCTCCCCCACAAGGGGTCAAAATTTTGAATATCCATGAAGCTCACAAAACCGACTGATACATTTTGTTTTCTTTTCATTTTATCTCTTTTTAGAGGTACCTCTCATTTCAATATTATTCCTCCAGCTCCCCCTCGCATTCCCTTTTTCACTTTTGAGAACCTCTCCCCTTCATTTTTTCACTCCCCAAAGCCATATTATTGACGAATTCATTGTCCATTGGCCTCCTTAGAGACAGCTTAATTAATTTTTATTTTTTCAAACCAAAAAAAAAAACTTAATTTTTCCGCCATGGCACCAATAAGGAACCAAAGTGGCAGTGAAGATGTTTACGCACCATGCCACCAGTTGTTGTTGTTGTAAATCTTGTAACTTAACAAGCAAATTAAAAACTGTTCACAATTTGTTCAGTTTTTCAAGTGGGCCTCTAGTTAGCAGGCAAATTGCCACCGAGTGAGAGAGAGAGAGAGAGCTAATGAGCTTTAATATGACACGCGCCAAAGAGAGGTCGTTTCTTTTAAGTGGCGGTTGTAAAGATTAGACCATAACACAATGTGACATTACTGGCAGACCCCCAGTCCCCCACCCCTTGGCTGCACAGACATTGCCATGCAAAAGAGCCAAGCCAAAACAATAACAACAACAATGACGACAGTAACAGCTGCTGCTGATTGCTGCCTCTGTTCGCCATGTGAGAAGAAACCGAGCAGTTGGGCTTTTGTTGTTTTCTTTTCGTTTTTGGCTATAAAAGTCAGTCATGCCATGATGAGTCGAAACATAAACCTTTCGTCTTTGCAACCAAGCAAACTAGTGGATTACAGCAGCAGCGGTTGCTTTCGATTTTAGCTAAGGATTACGTAGAAGAAGAAGAAGCAGAGGATACCATGAAGTTATTTGTAAGCCAGATGAGTTTGAAAGTTTTTTCTTCCGATTTAAATTCGAAATTTTTTTCTCTCCAGTATTTGATTGGATTTTTGGTGCTGGCAGCTGTGGCCCAGGCCGATGTCAGTGATAAATCGGAGCAGAAATCCCCTGATCTGGCCTCGGATAAAAGCAGTGATTCCAAGCCCAAAAGAGATGCCTCATTTTTGGGTGGCGGCGGCGGCAGTCATGGCGGCTATCATGGACCCTCCTATAAGTACTTGCCTCCCAGCTCGGTGGCCAGCAGCTATGACTCTTACAGCAGCCCGGGATTGTCCTCAGCTGGCCATCATCGCCATGGTGGTTTCCATGGTCATCAATCTGGCGGCCTAGGTGGTGTGAAATTTGTGGGTGTTAGCCATGGTATTGGAGGCTTCCCCGCTAGCTATGCACCAAGTGTTTCATATGGCGGTCATGGTTCCGGTGGTTTTGCCGGTGGATTTGGCCATGCCATAAAGAGTTCGGGTCCCTCTTATGTTGTGGGTCATGCAGTGGCTGGTGGTTTGGGCCATGGTGTCCACTCGTTTGGTGGTCATGGTTTTTCATCGGGACCCAAGGTAATTAGTGCCGGACCTAGTTATTCTTTGAGTGCTGGCCATGTTGGCTCCGGTTCAGGTCTGGCAGCTGGTTATCATTATTCCAAGGGTATTAGTGGTTCATTGGGTTCTGCTGGAGGTCATGGAGGATTTTCGTTGGGCTCTGGTGTGGGTCATGGTGTTTCTGGTGGCCATGGAGTTTCTGGTGTAGGTCATGGTGGATTTTCTGGTTCTTCCGGTTCAGGACATGGAGTTTCTGGTTATTCCTCTGGCTCTGGCCATGGAATTTCTGGTTTTGGTGCTGGTGCTGTATCGGGCTTCTCCAGCCAAGGTGATTATTCCTCAGGCCATGAGGTCCATCACTCTGATCATGTGCACAATGGCAATCAGGAACATCATTACATTGTGGGCGCCAGCCAAGATTCCGGTTTGGGTGGACCTGCTGGAGACTCAGGTTATCATTATGAGGCGCCTGTGGCCACATATCTTCCACCTGCCTTACCCTCCAGCAGCTATGGCCTGCCAATTTCCGCGGTAAGTGCCACCTATAGCCCAAGTTATCAAAATTCCCTGGATGAGGGACCTGTTTATGCTGCCGGCCACAAGGGTTTGGGCCATTTCAGTTTCACCTCGAATAAACCCAATGTTTTGCACACCAACATTATTGGCTCCAGTTTTAAGACTCCATCCTACAGCAAGGTGCCCTTTAAACCCTCCACATTTTTGGGTAGCAAATTTGAGGGATCATCAGCATCTTCGTCATCGTCGGTGGCAGGAGTAGATCAGGCTCCCCATCAACAATATTTGCCACCCTCCAGTGGAGCCCAGGAGGCCAGTGGCTATGATTATCCCATACCCTCGGGAGCCACTTTGGAGTATCATGATGGCAGTTATCAATCAGCTGGCGAGGTTGGTAATCACCAACAACCCGAGGCAAATTATTTGCCACCCCATCACGACAGCTCAGCTGGGGCCAGCCCCAGTGCTAGTTATTTGCCACCCGGTGGTAACTCATATGGCCATTAAGTAGCATAGCATTACCCCTTTTCTCTCCCCACCATGCAATCATTAACTTCAACTCATATTTAAGTGCTGCATTTAATTTATTTTTTAATGAAAAGAAAAAAATCGAAATATTTTTTTTTAACGAAAAAAAAATCTGTGTATTATAATTTAAGTGAATAAATTGTAAAATACCAAAACAACAATGACAGTCTAATTTTCAATTCATCTCACATTGGGCGAGAGAGTGTGGCCCATAACAACAAGAAACTTTCCAACTGGCTGGCTGGCTGGCTGGTTGGCTGGCTTGACTTGGCTTAAATGGTATGCAAATCAAACTGATTGATGGCTTAGATTTAATTCGCTCAATTCACAAATAGTGGCATTTTGGCAACTAGCCGAGAGAAAAAAATGTGGCCATAAATAGCTGAATGATTTGCCAAGATTTTTGCTAAGAATATTTTATTTATGACTTGATGTGCCACTCGAATGGTGGCGTTTAAGACGTGCATGAAATATTTCAATTGCGATTAGTTTTTTTTTCGAAATTGAAAGGGAAATCCAAAAAAACAGGCAAAAACAAATGTAACAGAAAAAAGTCACTTGGAATATGTAATTTTTTCTTTCACCTGTTACATTTCATTATTTTTTTTTTCGATGACAAATGTAAAATGATTTTTCAATGGAATTTTAATTTTTTTCTTCTTCAAAACATTACACCTCTTACCTTTTTTTAATGGAAAAATATTAACGAAGGTATTTTGTGATTTTTCTGTATGTGTCTTAAGTCTTTTGTTTTTTGAAAATTACAACCTATTTTTATTTAATTTCGCTTTGATTCCCATGTCTATGGAATTTTTCTCTCACCCAGAGTATGTGTCCTAAGTCTTTTGTTTCAGTTGACCAATTCAAGTTCAGAGTTCGTGTCTTAAGTCTTTTGTTTAAGGTTATGCATTCTCTCTCTTTCTCTCTCTGTGTCCCATTGAGAGTTTGTGTCTTAAGTCTTTCATATTGTGATTAGCAAATAATTTAAAGTATGTGTCTTAAGTCTTTTGTTTCGGCTTACAATTCCATGCAAAGTTTGTGTCTTAAGTCTTTTGTTTTGCGATTATCAATTCAAGTTCAGAGTTCGTGTCTTAAGTCTTTCTTTTTTCTATGATTATAACATTAGGTCATGTATGTGTCTTAAGTCTTTTGTCCACTCCATGTTGAGTTTGTGTCTCGAGACTTTGCTGGGAGATTGACAAGTTCAGAGTTCGTGTCGCATATTTTTATACCCTCCACCAAACTATGGAGGATATAATAAATTTGTCATTCCGTTTGTAACTCCTCGAAATACTCATGTCAGACCCAACAACAAATTGAGATAGAAGGCTAAAATGTTGCACACGTGTTTATTTTTTCAGTAGGCAGGTTAAGTTCGTAAATGGGTCATGTAGGTTCACGTTTTCGTATAGCCCCCATATAACGGTACCTCCCGATATTCGGTATTTTGATGATTTTAGCGACATTATTTACCAGAATTGTTTTAAATTTGGTATTTGAAGTTCAAAATAAATACTACAGTCTGTGAGAAAAAATTGTCTATGCAGGTCCACCTCTTCGTAGAGCCCCCATATAACGCTACCTCCCGATATTCGGTATTTTGATGATTTTAGTGACATTATTTACCGGAATTGTTTCAAATTTTGTATTTGAAGTTCGAAATGGATACTACAGTCTATGACAGAAAATTATCTGTGCAGGTCCACTTCTTCGTATAGCCCACATATAACGGTACCTCCCGATATTCGGTATTTTGATGATTTTAGCGAATTTCTTCACCGGAATTGTTTCAAATTTGGTAACTGAAGCTAAAAATGAATACTTCACCCTAAGACAAAAATTTGTCTATGCAGGCCCACGTCTTCCTATAGCCCCCATATAACGCAACCTCCCGATATTCGGTATTTTGATGATTTTAGCAACATTATTTACCAGTATTGTTTCAAATTTGGTATTTAAAGTTCGAAATGGATACTATAGCCTAAGACAAAAAATTGTCTGTGCAGGTCCACGTCTTCGTATAGCCTCCATATAACGCTACCTCCCGATATTCGGTATTTTGATGATTTTAGCGAATTTCTTCACCGGAATTGTTTCAAATTTGGTAATTGAAGCTAAAAATTAATACTTCACCTCAAGACAGAAAATTATCTGTGCAGGTCCACGTCTTCGTATAGCCCCCATATAACGTTACCTCCTGATATTCGGTATTTTGATGATTTTTGCGACATTTTTCACCGGAATTGTTTCAAATTTGGTATTTGAAGTTCGAAATTAATACTTCACCCTAAGACAGAAAATTATCTGTGCAGGATACTACAGTCTGTGACAGAAAATTGTCTGTGCAGATTCACGTCTTCGTCTAACCTCCATATAACGGTACCTCCCGATATTCGGTATTTTGATGATTTTGGCGACATTATTCACCAGAATACAGGTCGCATTTATTATCCGATTGAGATTAAATTTTCTACATAACATTTGTTTGGCTCAAGGACGAACCCTATTGAAATTGGTGAAAATCGGTTTAAATTTAGATATAGCTCCCATATATATCTTCGTCCGATTTGCCTTTCATTGTGCACCAAACGTGTAATATCAGCCCGAATAGTATAGAACTTTACACACGCAACCAAATTAGGCCTACAAAATAAGTATGCCAAATTTGATCGAAATCGGTTCAGATATAGCTATAGCTCCCATATATATTGTTCATCCGATTTGTTATTTTTGTCCACCGCAGCCTTAATATGCACTCTGTAACAAAAATATTTGGGGAAATATAGCAAATACAGCTCAGAAATATAAATTTTATTGAGATCGGTTCAGATTTGGATATAGCTCCCATATATAACTTCGTCCGATTTACCTTTTATTGTGCACAAAACGTCAAATATTTGTCCAAATAGGATGAAATTTGGCACTTACGACCGAATTGAGTCTAGAAGCTAGTATGTCAAATTTGGTGAAGATCGCTTCAGATATAGCTATAGCTCCCATATATATTTCATCCGATTTTGGTGTTTAAGTCCCTTACATTCGCAATATACACCGCATAAAAATGATATTTGGTACCAGATATTAGATTCAGCCTAGCAATACATGATTCAAATGTTATCAAGATCGGATCAGATTTGAATATAGTCTCCCTATATATCTTCGTCCGATTTTAGGTTTTTTGTGCATCAAATGGCTGATATTAGTTGAAATAGATTTTTGGCACTTCAACCGAATTTAGCATAGGAGCAAGAATTTCAAATTTGCTCCCATATATATATATATATTGCATCCGATTTGGTGTTTAAATCTCCAACTTTCAGAATATGCACTCTACCATAATCATATTTTGTACCAGATATCTCATAGAGCTCAGAAATGCCCAATATAAACTTTTTTTTACGAGAACTGTAAAAAATATGAGCTTTCCTTACTGGTTTGGATATGAGTCTGAAGTTTGTGCCTTAAGTCTTTGGTTTTAAGGTAATGCAAGTTTTTGTCCTAAGTCTTTTGTTCTAGCAGTACCTTGAGAGAATTTTTCAGAAATTCCGAGTTATTCTTGTCATTGACAAGTTTAGAGTTCGTGTCCCATATTTTTTTGGGTTATAGCAACTTTGTGCCTTAAGTCTTTGGTTAAGGTAACACAAGTTCGTGTCCTAAGTCTCTTGTTTTAAATTCAGAAATTCTGGTTTATTTTTGACATTTACAAGTTCAGACTTCGTGTCACATATTTGTTGGGTTATAGTAAGTTTGTGCCTTAAGTCTTTGGTTTTGAGGTAATACAAGTTCGTGTCCTAAGTCTTTCATTTTAACAGTCTCTTGAGAGATTTTTTTTTTCAGAAATTCTGGGTTATTTTTGCTCTAAGCAAAAAGGGAATTTCTATTTGAGAAGGAAAGCAAGAGAGAGAGAGAGAGAGAGAAGGCGAGAGAGAAATTGTAACACCCCCTCTTCACCACCCCAAAATAATTTCTCACCACACACACAAAACTAACTGTTTTTGAGCAACAAAGCCAGTTTATGTCCTCACTTCGGGTATTTTAATAGCCATTATGTGACAAGACTTGAAATTAAATTAAAATAAAATAAAATAAAAAAAAACAAGTAATTGAAGTTTTAAACCTTATAACATAACAGATTAACGCACACACACACTCAGTTGACATGACGTCACAATCGATTTAAATGAAAATAATAAAAACAACAACTCTCTCATCTTTAAACATTTGATATCTCTACAAATGCATGTGTGCCGGCCACTTAACCAGAGATCTTTATTAGCTAACCGAAATGGCAGAAAGTGAATGTCACCGAGCATTACCTTAGCTGAACTTCAGAAATAGAAAACCGTAACATGAGTAAAAGTAGTGAAATTATTTATCGTTTTTTTTTTTTTGCTTCAGATTTAAGTGGGTAGTTTACAAATTGATATTACATGGGCGGAAAGGTCACATGACTATGGAGGGTATATAATATTTGGTACGGCTAAAAAGTGCCTCAAAGAAATAATTGTTTTAGACCCTAGGTCTCCTTGGATCAAATCCGTTTTAGGTCATTTGAAGTCGATCTAGGGGTGGATTGTATGTCTGTGTGACTGGCCGGTGAGCACGATTACTCTCGAAGGAAGTACCCGATTTGTTCCAAACTTGGTACATCGTAATATTATTATCAAACCTAGATTGTGTTCGGAGATGGACAATATCGATCCACTCCTTCTGGTGCCACCCCCACAAAATATCAACATTTTCAAATAATATTAATTTACTGCACAGAAAGAGAAAGGATAATTCGATTTTGCTCCAACATTGCAAATCCCAATATTTGCATCAGACCTAGCACAGGTGCGAAAATGGATAACATCGGTGCACTCCTTCAAGTACCTCCCCCACTAAGGGGCAACATTTTGAATAATTATAACTCTTATAAAATGGGATTTAAGAGTCCGATTGTCTTCAAATTTCACACATCACAATATTTTTATTAACCCAAGGTCTGGTGTGAAGATGGAATATATCAATCCACTCCTTCTGGTACCTTCCCCACAAAGGTTCAAAGATTTGAATAAACAAAACGATCATAAAATCCGAAATAA